GGGAAGGGGGTCTCCTTCCTCAGGGGATCTGAGACTGAGGCTGGCCGTCCCCATGCTGGCCACCCAGGAGGCCCCCTTGCCCCACCCCACCATCTGTCTAAACACAGGCCCGGCAGGCATCCACCGCCCATATAAGGTGGCCTGCAGTGGGCTGCGCCTTCCTCCTTGGGCTCATGGGGCCCCAGCTCCCTGAAGCTCCTGGAGGGCAGCCCGCTAGCCCGGGGTCTTGGTGGCGAAGGTCAGGTAGCCAGTGTGGCCCACAGCCTCCTTCATGGGTGTGCCGCTGCGGAAGGGGCTGGCGTCGGGGCCGGGGCTGGCTCCCAGGTCCGGCGTGGGCAGGCTGACCGTCCGCACGTTGTACACTCGCGGCAGCGCCTCCAGGGTGCTCAGCTCCGAGAAGCCTCTGGCTGCCAGCGCCTGGCAGGTGCGCTGCACCTGCTCGATGCACGGCGAGAAGGAGCAGAAGCGCCCACCTGCAGGGAGCAGGACAGGGTGTCAGAGGGCAGGGGGACTGCAGGACCCCGGAGCCCGCCTGGCAGCCCCCTCTGGCCAGGTGTCTACGGCTGGGACTGCAGGTCAGAGGCAATGCTGCCCCTGGTCCCTCCAGGAGCAGGTGCTGGTAAAGAAATCACACTGTGAGCGAAGAGGTCTGAGGCTGGCCATGTGCTCTGGCCACAAAGAGCCAGGGTCAGGGACCAGGGTGAAGGCCGGGTTGGGGATTAAGTAGAGCCTTGGCATCACAGCTGCCATTGCATAGAGAGGGCATAGAATAGCTCTAACCACACAGCCCTAACTACACAGATCTAATCAGATAGTTTTAACCAGACAGCCCCCAACCAGAGGGCTCTAACCTGATGGCTCTAACCAGACAGCTCTAACCAGACAGCCATAACCCTATAGCTATAACCACAGCCCTAACCACACAGATATAATCAGATAGGTCTAACCAGACAACCCCCAACCAGAGGGCTCTAACCAGACAAGTGTAACCAGACAGGTCTAACTGGACAGCCCTAACCAGACAGCCATAACCCTATAGCTGTAACCACAGCCCTAACCACACAGATCTAATCAGATAGGTCTAACCAGACAGCGCTAACCAGATGGCTCTAACCAGACAGATCTAACTGAACAGCCCTAACCACACAGCCCTAACCAGACAGTGCAGCACAGAGCTGGGGGGGAAGGGGGCCGCAGGAGGGTGGGGGCACTGCCGGCACAGGAAATTAAAGGGTGTCACCACCTCCTGGGAAGTGGAGGCGCCTACTCTGAGCGAGCCAGAAGGCCAAGGATGACAAGGCGGGGGTGGAAGCTGACAGGCCCTTTCTGCCACCTCCCACTGGGGGCCGCCCGCCGCGCCCCTCAGCCTGGCTAGTGCCAGCCAAGGTCCCGATCCTGGCAGGAAGGGCAGGAAGCCAGGGCGGAGGAAGGGATGTGGCCTGGGCGAGTCCTCAATTGCCCACGAGGCCTGGTCACCTCAACCATGCCAAGGGATGTGGGTCCCTGTCAGGGCTGTGGGGCGGTCTGGGCTTGGAGGAGGCACAGACAGCTTGATGCCAGCCCGGAGAGGGCACAATGTCACTGCCAAGAGGGTAACCGACCCCTGTGCACGCTGCCAGGGACACTGAGGCCCCACTAGGGGAGGGCCTGAGCCTGCCGGCCAGCCTGAGGCCCGGGGTTGCCGACCTGGGTTCGCAGCAGGCGGGCGAGCAGCCAGCAAGCGCAGATGTATGAGCGAGTCGAGAGCCTCTGGCCCAGAACACACTGGTCCAAGGAAAGAGCCCAGAGGAGGGGCTTAGAGGGGCACATGGGACAGGGACAACAGATGGCGTGGCTCCCCTGGGCCAGCTACCAGCAAGGAGCCGCAGCAGCCAGAGGGAGGCCAGGGAGTGGGACTGCCTGGGCTCGGCCGAGGCTGGGCAGCTGGCTCTGGACTCCCTGCGACAGAGGCCTAGATTCGCGACATCCCTGCAGTGAGGGCAGGGGCCCCGCCAGTGCCCAGGGCAAAGTGGAAGGCGCGGAGATGTGGGGGAGCAAGGGCTGCCTCTTTCCCCAGCCCCAGGCCACCCTGGCAGAGACTAGGGACCCAGATGTCCAGGGCCGAGCCTGAGCCAGCCAGCAGGGGACCCGCTGGCCGCTATCTTGCTGTGGGGACCACCTGGCATCTGTCTTTCAGAGGGGCAGCCCTGCCCCCAGGGTGCCCGGCCTGCCTGCCCCCTCCATACAGGCTCAGCTCGGAGGGGGAAGGGGCCCGGCTGCCCGAGCTGCTCCTTCTCCAGAAAAGGGAAAAATCCAGGGCCTCGCCAGCGCCTCCCTGGCTGGTGGCCCATTTCCTGCCTCCACACCAGCATCTTCCCTAAAAGGGACCAGCTCTCCTTGGCTCGTAGCTTGGGGGAGGGGAGACTCTGTGGGGAAACCACTGGGGTCATGCGCTGACCTCTGACCTGACACGCCCAGTAGTGCAAGCCCACCCCGCACTCAGGCGGGGCTGCCACATTCCCCAGGGGACTCAGACATCTCTGGGCAGGCGCCCAGGCGCCAGCCTGACTCTGCAGAGCTTCACCTCACCAGGTGGGAGAACAGGCGTCCCGGGCCAGCCTGACTCCCGGGCCAGCCTGACTCACCCCTGCCTTGGGCCACTAGGGGTCCTGGCCACTGTGTGGCCTGGCGATTTCTGGCTTCTCTGGGCTTCAGACCACCCAGAGCTGGGCCCCTCCTCCCAGGAACCTGATGCACCTTCGACCTTCAGGGCGTCCCAGGCGTGGCCCACGGCCTCCCAAGGGGACGGGATGTCCAGGAAGACAGCATCTGCCACGTGGCTCACGCCGAAGCCGCTCCGGCACACGTCCTGGTTGTGCACGGTCACCCAGCGGCCCACACGGTGCTCCTGGAACTCGTCCCGCGCCTTCTCCGCCCGCTGCTGGTGAAACTCCACCGTGTGTAGGTGGCCCGTGGGCGCGATGGTGCGGATGATGGCATGGGACACAGAGCCGCTGCCAGTGCCTGCGGGACGGGACGGGCGTCAGGCCGGACTGCTGGGGCCACACAGGAAACCACCCCATCCTCGCCCAGGGAGACCCAAAGAGGGCCCACGAGGTCAGCCGGCCCAGGTTACCAGCGGGCATCGTTTGTTAGCGTCTGTCGGTCCCGGCTGCCCAGGGAACCACTGGGTCAGGGGCTGACCTCTGGCCTCCGGCTGGGGTACAGACAAGCTGGGATTGGTCATGGACGTGTACGGTGGGTCCAGGTGGGAGAGTGGCCACCCCGTCCACTGCACAGACCTGGCGACCGAGTTCTGTGACGGGCTGGACTGGCCCGAGGCTCTGCAGGGCTCCCGGCCCCCTGAGCTCCCGGCACACACAGGTTGCTCCGTCTCTCCTGTTCCCAGGGGTACCCCTCTGCCCCCGCCTCGCGGTACCACGACGCCATCTTGCCATGGAGCTTCTCTCCCCGCACGTCATCGACTCCCAGTTTCCCTCCAGCCACACGGGCCACTTCTCAGCTTCTTTGGGGGCCGCCCCTCCACCTGACTTCCCATCCTGCAGTGCCAGGCCAGGGCCTGCGTCCCTCATCCCTCCCCCACCTCCCCTCGACCCATGGCTGCCATTTACTGCTGACGGCTTCCCAGAGCCACGTCCCTCCACTCGACTCCTACCCAGCATCCACTGCACATTCACCCACATTCACTGCTTCTCCTCAACACCCAAACAGCACTGGCACTAACAAGCACAAAGCTGGACCCGATCCAGCCCCGCCCACTCCTGCCAAGCCTGCCCCAAGCTTGGCAGCCATACCCCTCGGCAGAGGCCGCCAGGAGCCAGGAGCCAGGGGCCGCCCTTGACTCCCGCTCCCACTGACATCTGACCCACCAGGAACTCTGCCGCCACCTTCCACACCTCTCCAGGAGCCATGCTTGGTCCTCACCTGCCTGCCACACCCACCTGGGCCCCTCCCTCCTGGCTCTGAAGAAGCCACCAGACTGGCCGCCTTCAATCCTGTCTCGACACCGCAGTCGACTGGGCTCTGCACACGGGCTGAGCTCCCCTTCCCATGACGGGTGGAGTCAGGCTCCCAGCCGCGCCCCGGGCTGTGCCCTGTCTCCTCCACCCTCACGTCCTGATCCCGCTCCCAGCCTCCGTGACGTCCCTCACGCAGGGCCTCCGCGCAGTCTCCCCCAGGGTGACACTCCATCGGCTCTTGGATACCTCCTCCTCATTTCTGACTCAGTGTCGCCTGCAGAGAGGTCTTCTCTGATCGCCCTAGAGGGACCTCCTCTGAGTCACCCTGAACTTTCGGCCCTGAATCACGAGCCTCAGTCAACGCACTGAAATGGTCACACTGGGCTTGCTACCCGTGCCTCTCTGAGAAGCAGAAACCTGGTCTGTCTCGCCCACAGTTCCTAGAAGGGCAGCTGGCACATCAGAGGGGTGCAGAAGTGTGCCCGCTGAGCGAGCTCTTTTCACCTGAGTGGAGTGAGGCCTGGGCCAAGGAAGCACAGGGAGCAGCAAGGATGGAGCCGGCTGAGTTCTGCCGTCCACCTGCCACCGGTGCCCAGGGGTCCTTGTGCTGAGCACTCGGCCTCTGCGCAGCCCCTTCCACTCTCTGACCCAGGGCCTAGGGCCTGAACCCGACTCTTCCCATTTCGAAGTGATTGGCTGGGCAACAGGGACCATCCAGTTGTCCACATGGAGAAACAAGGCTCACAGAGGGAGAGGATGGCCTGAAGCCCTCAGAGAGCTGGCGGCATTGGTGTGGGGACCTCTTCAGGACCCCGATCCCAACTGTCCAGCCCATGAAGTACGTGCCAGGAGTCCAGGCTCACGTGGGCCTGGGCCGCGTGCTTCGATCTCCACCCCAGGTGGTCCCAGCGCTTCTGGGTGTGTCTGTGTGTGTGAGGCCCAGGAACAGCTGGTCTTTAGGCCCTTCTACCTGAACCCCGGGTCCTGGGCTCAGCGACAATGATGCTGGCCGGAGATGCGCATGGGGCAGGCTCCCCACCTACCATGAGCACCTTGGAGCTGCCCTAGCCACCCTCCAGGAAGGGGCACCCCTCTGTCCTAGGCCTGGAGCTCCCATTCGCAGCAGTCAGGGACTGCTAGGCCAGGCACCCCCTGCCCTCTGTCAGCCCAGGGTAGGGACTGACAGTCAGCACCTTGGTCAGCACCAGGCAGCTCTCTGGCCCAAAGGCCGGCAGGACCCTCAATAGCCACCACCTCCTCGGGGCCTATCCTTGGTCACCCTAACAGTGCTCACTCAGATGACAGCACCAGCCTCCTAACCAGCTTCCTTGCTTCTGCCTTCACTCCCGATAGACGCCCCCAGAAAGACTCTGTCAAAACAGAGGTCCAGGAGCCACGCCGGTCTTTGGGAAGGGCATGCTGGAGGCTGTCTGCGTGTTGGGCCTGACCTCCCCCTTCACGGCAAGTCCTCAGAGAACCGAAGCAGCCCGAAGAACTCACCGGATTCACAGACCACAGAGCCAGGCCGAAGCTCCAGCATCATGGTGAGCAGGGCAATGTCAGTGGAGTAGAGGATCTGGGTGCGGTGTGGCAGGTTCAGCGTCCAGAGCTCGGGGGTGGGGTGCAGCACGTAAACCCAGCCGCCTCGGCCACACGTCACCTTGGAGCCGAAGGGGCGGCCGATGAGGTCTACGGAGTGCCGCAGGACGCCATGCCGGGTTTGGGTCTGCGCCCCACGCTGCACGCGTACTGCCACCATGGCGCCATGGCCCAGTGACAGGATGGCTGTGTCACCCTCTTTAATCAGCTCCTCGTAAGCCACGAAGCTCATGACGGTGCTGTCTTGTGTGTGCCAGGGACCTGGAAAGAGGTGCGTGGGGGCTCAGTACGTAAGGGCGCCAGGAGGCAGGACGTGCATGGTGACACCCAAATCCTGAGCCTGGGCGTGGGGGTGGGGTCAATGGCTCCGGCCCTGGCACCGTCCACCCGGGCAGCCCAGTAGGGCTACACCTTGGCCTGACATTCGGTCCCAGTCATGAGACGGGCTCTTCTTGGTCTGGTCATGAGACAGGAGCCGTGAGCCCAAATCACAGATGGACTTAGGCCAGGCGATGGGTGGAAGGGTCCCCACAGAGCCAGGACCTGACCCTCTCGTCCCCCTTCTCCAGAGCCTGATTCCCATTCTGGCTTCAGAGGAGAGCGGCCACCAGCGAGGGAGCAACGAATGGTCACCTCCATTCCAGGTTCCATTCCGCGGCACCCCCTCTCCTCATTCTTTCCCAAGGTGGGCTTCTGGGAAGACGGGTGGCGGGGGGAATGCAGGAGAGGCAAGGACCCCAAAAGCAGAGTCTGGGGACGCGCAGTGGGCCTTTAAACGAAGCACTGGCCGGATCAGTGCAAAGCGGGGGCGGGTCGGGGCTTGGCCGGGAGGGGCCCCCCCGAGGCCGGAGGGACGCGCAGGGCCCGCCGGGGCGACTCCCGCCCGCCCAGTGCCAC